ATGAATGGATTGAAAAACTGTGGCACATATACTCTATGGAATACTATTCAGCCATAAAAACCAACAAAACCCTGGCTTTTGATAGAAAGTGGAAGAATATGGAAGATTTACTGCTGAGTGAGGCAAGCCAAGATATAAAGGAGAGACATTGTATGTCCGCACTTAATATATACCGAGTGTCTGCACTCTATGACAGAAACTGATTGACTAAAGGTTGTACAAATACAAGAGATGGGTGTGAATGCCAGATGTGGTGTGTGTGGAGGAGTGGGGCCTAAGGAAGGACATTTGGAGAAAGGATACGGAGGTAGAGCATTGATGGGATGGGGAGGTATGGTGTTATTGGTTGAAGATATTTTGATCAACTGGACTGGGGAGAAATGTTCACATATTGAAATGTTCACATTGTAAGCTAAACCATGTGATTGAATATATATAAAAAATTTAAAAATAAATTATTTAATAAAAAAGAAGGTTTAAAAAAACATTGACTATGTAGAAAAATCAAACAAATAACTGAATAAATAAATGTAATGCTAAAAATAAAATGGAAATATATATTATAAAAACACTATTCAAGCCAGTTGGTGGTGTGGTGGTAAGGTTGCTTGATGCTACATGGCTGACTGTGCAGTTCAAATTCTGGACCTGGTCCTTTGAAAAAGCATGCAAGGCATATGTGTCCTAGGGCCCCAAATTCCACAATAAGAATGGAGGAGAAGAGACTGCCGTGTGACCATCTCCCTTGGGGAGTACTTTCTTACTCACACTCCCAATGTCTATCTATCTCTTGTGAGCATATGTACCCTATAGAAAAAATAAAAAAACAAACAAATGAAACTGTGCATGGATTTTAAAATATCTTTTGCACCAAAATAAACTAGTTCTTTAATTCCATTTTTTCATGATCATTTTGAAGTTCCTTTGTATATCTCTGAATTTCAAAAAAAAAAACCCATCTTTAGTGTAAGCATATATAAAATATTGCATGGGATATACTTATACTAAAAATTATTTGCTATCTATCCAAAATTCAGATTTAAGTGATCATTTTTTACACTGAAATTGGGCCAATAATCCTTCAGTTAATGAACTACAGATGGTTAAAATGTGTTTTCTTCACTATTTACTGATGGAGATTAGTTAACAGCCAATGTTCTTGCATTTTGATTGAATTTGAAAGTATTTTGAAGTTTTAAAACTTCTTATTATCACTCAAAGATCACAAGTTTCTATGTTTTCAACTTTGGGACAAGCAAACAACTAAGAATTATTATCAGTCCTTAAAGTAATTTGACCACAATCCAAGACTTTTGGCATTAACTGTGTTCCCCTGAGATCCTGTGAGATCTAGTTTCTGTATCAGAGAAATGTGGTCAAAGTTTAGACAGACAGTGAGACTGAATTTCAAAACTTTTTGACATTCATCCCATTGTTAACTAACTTGGTTCCAAATCAAGCAAAAGTCATAATTTCCTTTGTCTGGGATGAGATTCCAATCATGATAATAATGAGGATGAAGATCTACTTCTGTGTGCAGGTGAATCACAGAAAAGTCCATAAATCATCAATTTATAGGGACCAACAATTTCAAATTTACTTTAAATAAACAAGCAAAACATAATCAGCATGAAGTCAGCAAAATAAGCCAGCCTGAAATTGGTGCCTGTATTCACAACTTACTTTCTATGCTTCTATGCTTTCAACACGGTAATATACACTGCAAATGAAAACAAAGGGGAAAAAAAGAGAGAGAGAGACAAGAAGTAGAGGGTGGTAGAATCAATGTCTCAGTAAGGAAGAGACTTATTTAAGAGATGATTGATTTGAAATGCTGCAAATTGCATAATGGTACATCATAAAAATGCAATGATCTCTCCTCAAGCAACTTCTCAAGTGGTACAGAGACAGGGTTAAAGAAAATGAACATCCTTTTAAAAAGTAAAAGAAGAAGAAAAGAAAAGAAAATGAACATCTTTAAGAAAAATAAGAAAAAGAAAATGAACATCCTTGCTGTTTGGTTTAGTTCTTTTCATGCTCAAACTTCCCAGTTTGCAGTCCCATGGAATAAAACACTTTAAATAAAATACTAGTTTCTCTACTAGTACTGTCCACAAAAGCAGATCCCCTCCACTCTTGGTCCAGGTTATTGTCAGATAAATCCAAATGCTCTGTATTTCCTTTTTCTTAACCATACAGTACTTTTTTGAACCATGTTCTCTTCAGTGTCACATTTGAATTAATCAGACAAAAATAGTAAATGAGATTCCATGAGCTAGTTGAAGAAATCTCTCTGCTGAAGAGAAAAATTGGGGTCAGTGCATTAGGGAGGCTAATACAATTTGCCTTGCTTCCCAACCTCTTCCCTCAGTCCCTGCCTCCAGACATAAATTTTCCTGTTTGACCAGTCATCTCACAACAATGTGTGTTCCAGCCATGCTGTGATTAGAGAGGAGAATATGCTTATTACTCGAGTTCTTCACTTGTCGGAGCACGGAGAGACCAAGGGTGGTAAACCAAAGGAAATTTCCATTTGCTCTTAGCTGCTGCATGTTCTTACTCTATAGGAAAGTTAGCTGTTATTAAGTAATAACGTTCAGCTAAAGTTGGTCACTCATAACAACAGACAGATGTATAATGTTTTATTTGGGTTAGCCAGCTCTCTTGCAAATAAGGGGCCTGAAATTAAACTGTCTTTACAAAAATATTCACCAAATGATACCTTTGACTTCTGCTCAGATTCTTTGCCATGGAAAATGGAAAATGAGTCTCCTGTTGAACCCAGTATCTGTTTAAACTTGTCTTTGCTGAGTAGAGAAGAGTTGATGTTCCACGGAATGAACAAAAATTTAAAAAGAATCTGCACAGAGGAGTAAAGGCTGTAACTATGCAAACCACATGTAGAGATGGAAAGGAATTTTTTTTAGTACTTATGGAATTTGAAACAATAATAATAGAATGGAAACATAGGAAAAAGGCTAAATATTTGACCACAGAGGCAAATTGGATCATTAGATGCTCACATGCAATGTAAAATGTGGGATTTGTCTTTAAAGAAATACTTGTTGCTTTTCCAAAGTATAATAGGGCGAATGAAAAACCTCTTCAGTTCACCAAACCAAAACTAGCTAACTATAGCCACAAAACCCTTGGGGAAATTATGTTCTTTTGAGGTGCAGGATCTTTGGAGGCCCCCTCAGAAATTCTGGTTTGGTAGCCCAGGTGTGGGTCCTGACTACCTTTACTTCTAATGAGTACTCCCAAGTGTTGTGGATCCTGGGATTGTGTGAGAGAAAGGGGCCCACACTATTCTATGCCACCCTCTTGGGTCGACAGAGATGGACAGCTCATCCCAAGACACTTCGCAGTTAACAGAAAGAGGAATCTGTCCATAAAATAGACTACAAATCACAAAAGGTTGTGTCTATCCCTAACCTTGTTAGTTGGCTCAGTGATTTTCAACACATCTATCAACCATTTTTAAAAAAGGTATATTCACGTATTTCTCCCATGAAAAAGAAAGAGAGAGAAGCAATCCCAACAGAGTTCCTATACTGTAATCCATTCCAATCACAGCTGGCCTGGGTCATGGGCACAGAAACACATACAGTGTGCTCAAGCAGATTCTGGAACATGAACACAAAACCTTTCTTATTTATTTATGTGGTGCATACCTTGCACCGCTACCTAGTCCCTTACTCAATCCTTTTGATTCTCTTTTTCTGCAGAAATAAAGTAACTGCCAGACAAGCACTTTTCAGAGTGTTCCTAAATGTTAGGTGAAGGTGTCTTAGATACCTATGTAGAATATAGATATATAGAAAAATGTCATAACTTTTACGATTGACCTAATATATGAATATATATTATATATCTATGATGTCTATAGATACCTATCTTAAAGGTATCTGTCTTGCGTGCGTGCCCAAGATCCCAAGAGGAGAGTGGAGGAGAAGGGATTGTGGCGTGACCATCCCCCCTGGGGGGTGATTTCTCGCTTTCTATCTCTCTGTCTCTCTCTATCTGTCTGGCAAACGCACATGCCCTATAGCAAAAACCTCTCAAAAAAAAAAAAAGAAATTAAAACATAACATCTCATATAAGTTCTGGTACAGAATAAATAACAAAATAACTATAGCTATTTGTTCTATAATGGATGCTTCAATGAAGTGATCTGGAAGTTATTTTGTGGTTTGTCATGAGAAAAGACATTGTTCCAAGTGAATTTTGAGGATGGTGGTTAGATAGGATCATAACTATAGAAGCAGGTCAATCTAATTTGCTAAGAAAGTCTTCCATTTATTAAGTACGTGAATACCTGTAAATTACTTAATCTCTTTAAGCCTAGTTTCTTCATCTATAAATAGAAAAAAAATGCTTGCTTTAAGATAAAAAGAAGTAAAATAATGTCTGTAGTTGCTTTGAAAAGTGCCTAGTGCCTTTGAAGTTCCTCCTTCCCAAATGAAAGTTATCAACAATAAGTTGATACTGGTCCAAGACAGTCTGTGTGTCTATGTGATTACAGATTATTAGGCCACCAGATTTTTGAGTCAGGAGTTTCTTGTTCCACAAAATATTAGAATGATAGGATAGGATGCCCTTATAACTTTCTTGAAAAGTTATCTTGTCATTTTAAACTTAAATATCAACCAGAAGTCGTTTAATGAGAAGAATTACTTAGCTTTTCTATGTTGTTCTTAGGGATTAGACAAATCTTTCCACTGGAATCTTGTTAGATTCATGTTCTTTTTCTATTTCATATTTAGTCATAAACCAATATTCTGAGTTTGCATTTAGAATATTTTAGGACTTTACAGTTTTCCTTTAAATGTAGTACCTTTTAGGTCAAGCATATCATCCAAAAGTAAAAAAGGTATGAAGGTATCTCTGGGGTCAAGTTTTCACTAAATTTTGCCTCAGTAATGCATAACTCCAGAGCTCTCTGGCTTACAGCAATAAGAATTCTTCTCCCCTCTGTCACAGCTGTCATTCAGCTATAGCTCCACTTCAGATATTTTTCTAAGGAAGAAAAAACTCACTGGAAGAAGAAGAAACAGCCCAACCTGAGTTCTCCTCTGAGCAGTGATAAGTTGGGATGCCTCTGTTCAGGCATGATAATGAGTCACTTCCGTTGGTCAAGGTAGGTTACAAGGCCCCATGTGACACAAGGGAGTAGAAAACACTACCCACAGGGAAAGGCCTATGAGAGGATTCATTATGGATGGAGCCATCAGAAAGGTGTAGCAAATAACTGAGAACAACATATAATTAACCACAACTCTATCAATACTGTTCTAAGTTCATATATTCAAAATGCACATCATTAAGATAGAGGAAGCTATCATGTAAATGTGAAAGTCATCACATATTTTTCTCATTTTCTATGCAAAAATATATCATGACTTTCCCAATGACCCAATAATTTAAACTCGTACTTCTCAAATCCCATGGGTCTCATGGAGAAGAATGAGCAATTCCACAGTCTCTAAGAAGTTGTCATTCATTCTTTCTTTCTTTCTTTTTTTTTTTTTTCCAGAGGTTTTTTTGCTATAGGGTGCGTGCACTTGCCAGAAAGACAGAGAGAGACAGAGAGATAGAAAGCAAGAAATCACCTTCCTGGGGGGATGGCCACACCTCAATCTTTCTCCTCTATTCTCCTCTTGGGATCTTGGGCACGCACGCACACATGTCCGGCATGAGTTTAAGCCACCGGATCAAGGATTTGAACCAGGGTCAACAACATGGGAGTCCACCGACATAGCCATTACGCCAGCTGCTGGTCCCAAAAGTTGTCATTCTTTTTAGCCAACCCCAGCCTTCAGGGGTCTGAGACAAAAAATAAGTTGATAGAAGGAATCTATAATTTCCCTAAAAGATAGGAAGCAAAGGATTGCCCTTTGGAATCTATTGAGAGTCAACTTCGGTCACCTTGTTCTTTTTCAATGAACATGCCCATTTCTAAGGTCATCCATTTTCTCAGCTAGCATTGCTGAAGTCAGTTAGGGAACTCAAAACAGTCAGGCCAGCTTTTGAAGCAAATCCTAGACTGCTTTGACAGACTGGGAGGAATATGGCACAAGTCCAAAGACAAAGGTCTCAGGACATGTGTTTGTGTGTCTGTAGTCACAGGATTCAAAGAAGGACAGCTAAGCCTCATTGGTTTTATTTTCAATTTTTAAACCTTTTGAGCTCAGTGAACTCCAAGAAGATTCTTGTCAAGCATTTTTTCCTACTTAATATTTAAACCTGTGTGTACTTAAAGTGAAATTTAATCCAAGTATTTTGAATTTGTAGACAGAGAAAGAGATCATCGAGAAATTGATTTGTCAGAAATATTTTTTATAAAAGAAAGCCTTTGAAGGAACTTTTCTTAAGGAGCAAGAAGTTATGATTTGTCGGAGTTTGAAGATCAGATTCCCCACATTTTAATTTTTTAACAAGGAAAGTTATTTTTATTTAAAATGATTGTATTTTCTTTCTTCTTTAAACTTATTTATTTATTTCCAGTCAGTCACTATGTATCATTATATCATAACAAATGTATTTTCCCATCATGAATACATTATATATTGGTCCAGTCAAAGCCACCACCAAAAACATTATAATCTTCTAATTTTACATGGAAATTCATAGTTACAATTTGATTTGGATTTCATTTTTTCACACCTTCTCACCCCATTTGAGAGTATGTGCAATGAGGTCATATAAGTCATAGAAGATCTCAGTGTTCTATTTATTAGGAATAAAAAAAATCATTTTTACATTGAATTATTTTTCTTGATAAAGCATCCATGTGATTGTTACCTGGAGGATCCCATTTCTGAAACAGAAAGAAGGAATATTGTGTAAACACCAGTTGTCAAGCAAAACTGATGGGTGAAAGTCTAAATATTAAAGATTTCTCTGTATTTAATTTTAGCTATGGTTTTGCTAGAATTACTAATAACATATTTACTATAAATATAAAAACATACACAATATTTGGACCAGCAGATGGCATAGTGGTTCCGTCACTGAACTCTCAGGTGGTCGACTACGATTTGAGTTCCAGACCTGGCAACTTAAAATTCATGTCTGGCATGTGTGCATGTGTACCCAAAATCCCGAGAGGAGACTGGAGGAGAAGGGATTGCAGTGTGACCATACCCCCTGGGGGTGATTTCTCCCTTTCTGTCTCTCTGTCCCTCTCTTTCTCTCTGTTGAGTGCATGCACCCTATAGCAAAAATCTCTCTTAAAAACTGTATTTTATATTTAATATAAATTTTATGTATAGACTTTTCACATTCCATAACATACAATATTTACACAACTATATAATAAATGTAAGTAATGTGTTAAACTTTTTTTGTTTTTAGAGAACTTAGGGCATATGCGCTCACCAAAGAGTGACAGAGAGAGAGAGAGAGAGAAAGTGAGAAATTACCTTCCAGTGGAGGATGGCCATGCCTCAATCCCTTCTTCTCCATTCTCCACTCAGGATTTTAGACACAAATGTATTCACCCTTAGTGTGTATTCCAAGCCACTGGGTCTGTTACACTTTTGATTAGATTCTCTGCTTTAAAAAAAAAAAAATGGCCTTGGCAGACAGTGGCCTAGTGGTAATGCAGCTGGACTCATGTGAGAAGGTACCTGGTTCGCTTTCTGAGTCCTCCCTGTGCAGGCCAGGCATGAGTACAGACATTCTTCTTTTGAGTTGGCTGAGTCAGGGAGTGGATTGTGGCATAAAAACTCTGTTGAGGGGCACCTCTTTTTCTCTTTCTTTCTTTCTTTTTCTTTCCTTCCTTCCTTTTTCTCTCTTTCTATATCATAGAATATATAAGTTTTAAAAAAATATAGCTCACATTTATCTTTAAGGATAATAGAAGACAGAAATCCCTAGGTCAGCTTGAGACTTTCTCCAGGTACATGTGCATGGCCCAAATCTCAAATAGGGGAGAAAAATGGAGGAGAAGGAATTGTAGCATGACCATCCTCCACAGTGGGTGATGTTTTCTTTCTCTTTCTCACTCTGGCAAGTGCACACACTTTCTGGCAAAAATTTTTTTTTAAAAAAAAGAAGTTGAACATTCCTGAAAATAAATAAAAAGGTGTTCTTAGTGCTTATATGCAAGATAGAGTGAGCGGACAAGATCTTCAGGAGAAAAGCTGTGTATCAGTGTGGTGGTACCCAGGCCAACAGCAACAGTATCACCCGGAACCTCTTAGCTGTGCAAATTCTCAGGTGTCACCTCAGACCCACTGACCCAGAAACTCAATCCTTCTAGGTGATTCTGATGCAGCTAAGTTTGAGCCCCTCTATCAGAGTGGTTGCAGGCATGAGCACTGGATCCTCACTATGTAGGTGCATTGCTACCAAGGTCACCTTTGGGAACCTAATAAGCCACTTCTGTGCCTTAGTTTCCTCTTCATGAGGATAATGATGGTGCTTACCTCACAGGGTTGATGTGAAGATTAATTAACTTTACATATGGGACAAACTTGGTAGCTGGCACATGGCAATGTGTTATCTATTAATGATGATTACTGCTATTATTAAAAATTTATTACTATTATTACTTATCTGAATCTAATGTTATTATTCATCTCCATCTTCCTCATGTTGGACAACTTTTAGTTCTATTCTGGTGCTTTGCATTTTTATTCCTTGCTTATTTATTTCTTCTAGTTGGTTGATGATGGCTTTTGGCCATTACAGGTCAATTTCTCTTTGACAGCACAGTGTGTGTGTTCATTTTCTGTGGTTGGTTTCTTTGATCATCCATTCTCAGAAGAGGTTCTTTCTTTGATTTTCTTCCTCTCTGATGAAGGTGATAGGAACTCCCTTTCCATTTTTCCCATTCTCATTATTTTGTCTTCAACAAAGGAAATGGAGGTTTTTCTATTGCTAAGTACCTTTTTCAATGAGTCTACTATTTAGTGGTGTTTCAAAAATGTGTTTTTTTCCTTTTATCTAGAAAACAAATGCTCCATGGCATAAGTGCTATTAATGAGTGGCTTCGTAACCTGCATCTTTCATTGGCTTGACGTAGAAGGTCTCCATTTGATACTTTCAAAAACTTTACTTCAATAAAAATATCACCATATAGTGGTTGTCAGAAAAGTCATGACACATTTTTATATAAAAAAAAAAAACAGAAAAAATCTTCCTCATGTTGGACAACTTTTAGTTCTATTCTGGTGCTTTGCATTTTTATTCCTTGCTTATTTATTTCTTCTAGTTGGTTGATGATGGCTTTTGGCCATTACAGGTCAATTTCTCTTTGACAGCACAGTGTGTGTGTTCATTTTCTGTGGTTGGTTTCTTTGATCATCCATTCTCAGAAGAGGTTCTTTCTTTGATTTTCTTCCTCTCTGATGAAGGTGATAGGAACTCCCTTTCCATTTTTCCCATTCTCATTATTTTGTCTTCAACAAAGGAAATGGAGGTTTTTCTATTGCTAAGTACCTTTTTCAATGAGTCTACTATTTAGTGGTGTTTCAAAAATGTGTTTTTTTCCTTTTATCTAGAAAACAAATGCTCCATGGCATAAGTGCTATTAATGAGTGGCTTCGTAACCTGCATCTTTCATTGGCTTGACGTAGAAGGTCTCCATTTGATACTTTCAAAAACTTTACTTCAATAAAAATATCACCATATAGTGGTTGTCAGAAAAGTCATGACACATTTTTATATAAAAAAAAAAAACAGAAAAAATACATCATAACTTTTCCAACAACCCAATAAGAATTAGAATTCCAACTCACAATTTGGAAAAATATACTGAAAAAATAAATGTTATTTCAAGAGCTTAAAAAATGCTGCAAATGCTGTATGAAATATGACTTATCTGAGGGATTAAGAATGGGGAAAATAGAAGAAAATATCCTTTTTTCATTCTTTTCATCCTTAACTTTTGGGGGACTACTGTTGCTCAGTGTTCAGAAGTTAAGCCAAGCAAGGTACAGAATAAGGAAAGAAATATAAAACAGTGTTCTAGTATGTTTATTGCTAGTGACTGAAAATACTGAGTCTAGGTAATTTAAGAGAATACAGGTTTATTTGGTTTACAGTCTGGATCCCTGAGTTTCAGAAGCCTCATCTGGGAAGGGCTTTCCTTTTGGGATCCTGAGGCCATGTAGGGAGGGTTTTACATCATCA